TGCGCGGCAAGGGCTGTCTCCGGCTTCCCTGCCAATTTGACGAGTGTAGCTGTACGAGCGCCTTGCCGTGTCACACAAGCGCGGCAGGGTGGCTCCTGGAACGCGTACTCGCCCTACCAGCACGACAGCAACCCGTTCGGCTCCGGCTCGGCTCCCGACACCGATTACGCCACTCCCGGGGGGGTGCTCTGCTGGTGTGAGTGGTTGAGCACACCCCCGGGGGTGGCGTAATCGGTGTCGGGAGCCGAGCCGGAGCCGAACGGGTTGCTGTCGTGCTGGTAGGGCGAGTACGCGTTCCCCGAGGCACCCTGCCGCGCCTGTGTGACACGGCAAGGCGCTCGTTCAGCTACACTCGTCCCATTGGCAGTGTCGCCGGAGACAGCCCTTGCCGCGCCGGCGGCGTGAGGAAGGTGTCCTCGTCCGCCGCGATCTCCAAGACGGTGCGGGGCTCCTGCTTGTTGTCCAGTGGCCAGTCATTGAGTGACGGGGCGTCGTATGCGTCATCTTCACCTCTCAGCCACATCATCCCCGCTGTATCTCGGTGGCATCTTGTCTCTCTCGGCTAGATCTCGGCCATATCTCGGCCAGACCTCGGCCATATCTCGGCCATACCTCGGCCATACCTCGGCCATACCTCGGCCATACCTCGGCCATACCTCGGCCATACCTCGGCCATACCTCGGCCAGATCTCGGCTAGATCTCGGCTCCTCGACGAGTCGCTGCGGCTGGCGCGCGTTCGCAATCCGCACTGCGAACAAGCCGACCAGGCAGAGCCAGACACAGAGCAAGCCACTCGCGGCGAGGACGATCGCCGCCACGCCGAAGGCGAGGAGGCTGTACCACGGCCGATCGCGAGAGCCGAAGACGGGCACCGTGCGCAGCTCGACGCCTGAGGGACAAAAAGAAATGCGCCTGGCAAAAAAGAAATACCGCGCGCGGGCGGCGCGTGCAGAGCTCTCGACGCCTACACGGCATGCGTTGCACTCGGCTCAGTCCTTCAGCGCGCGCCGAGGCGAGGGGGCAGCCGTGCGGGCGGAGGTGCCGGCGAGGCGCGCGATCGGATGCGCGCTCTCCCACGCGTCTGCCGCGAGCCGGTCCCACACAGACATGTTCAGCGGAGAAGGGGGCGGCGCCGACGGGTACGCGCGCACCGCCTCGTGCGGGTCGTGGCTGTCAAGGTCGACAGACCGGCCGTCCTTCGCGAGGTGGCCTGAGGTGAGAGGGAGGGTAGAGTAGCGGGCGCACGTCTCCACACACACAAGGTGGTGGTGGGGCAAGGGCCAAGCTAGTCCCTCGCGACTCCACGTCTGGACGACAAGAGCCCGGCGCGGCATTCAAAGTGCAGGGCCCCGGTGCGGCATTCAAAGTGCAGGGCCCCGGTGCGGCATTCAAAGTGCAGGGCCCCGGTGCGCGGGCGGGTGCGTCGTTTCAAAGAGGCAGGCGGGGTCGCACTACTACGACTAGCGCACGAGGATGAGTGTGCCTAGACGTGTGCCTTGAGCTGTATGTGTGCATGCGCATGTGCATGTGCATATGTGCCTGCTTTTGCAGCCCGGGCGCCCTCCCGCGCTTTGGTATCCTTTTT